CCGTTCTGTCATGTTCCGTCCTGTCCTGTCCCGTTCCGTCCCGTCTGCGAACCAAACGGTACCTAGGTAGCGTTTGGTACGCAGATGGGACAGAACAGAGGTTCGATGTTATGTTTGGTACGTGCAGGATGGAACGAGACGGTTGTTCTGTTCTGCGTTTGGTAAGCGTATGGCAAATGGAACCAAAAGATAAATGACTAACTTACCCACGTGCATAAAAAAAATAAAATACAAAAACTCAGACTCTCATTCCAAACCCACTTAACCCCTATTTTCAACATTTCAGATCAAAACCCAATTTCCCAATTCGGATCAACCCACGCCATCATCTTCTTCTTCACCCAGATCAACCATTTCTACCGTAGATTCTTCTTAGTCGTTGACAACTTAGCCACCATCTCCATCCCGTCTTCCTCTCCTCCGAACCCAACTCACTCAAAGTACCCATTTTCCAATTCCTCCCTCAACGTCCCCCAGCCCACCAAAAATTCCAACTCCCTCAAATTCGTTTTAATCAATTTATGCAGTGTCATCATCGTCCTCCCTAGGCTTACAATAATTGCCTGGCTATGGTGGCGGCGTCGGAGAAGAAGGTGGAGTGCGGAGGGATTGAACAGGCGGCGGTGGAGGAGCTTCGACATCATCAAAGACAACCTTGGTCTCCTCTTCGCGCTTTTTGCTGCTGAGACGATGACGATGGCGGCGGTGATGATGGTGCTTGTGGCGCTTGGATGACTTTTTGATGACCTCATCATTGTCGGAAAAGGCTAGGCGGTGCTTGCTATGCAAGTCTTGGGCATCGCTAGCGACAATCTCGTCGTGGGACAAGCAAGGATGAGGGAGGCAGCTGGAGGAAGGTAGGGTTGGGTTCGGATGGGTTTGTTGGGTTTGTGGTGGAGAATGAGGAGGCTACTGGAGAGATGGAGGGTAGATAGTGGAATTAATGAAAACGAGAAGGGGTATTGTTGTCTAAAAATTTATAATTTTGTGTTCCATGGCTGGAACAAGTCGTTCCAATGGGGAAGGTGGAACAAACAAAATGACTAAAAATCATTTCACGGGACAACGTGTCCCATACAATTTGGTGCACCAAATATGGGACGAGTGCGTTCTGTCCCATTGCGTTCCATTCCATCTCATGTACCAAACGGTACCTTAAATCTTAAGGCTTCTTCATTGGACCAACTACTAAAAAACTTTGAAGAATTTGTGGCATCTACTAAAGAAGAAGACAATAACGACAAAAGACTAAATGACATTTAGCCCATTAAGAGGGACTGCTACGATACATGCATTTACGTTATACATTTGGCATCTAATGGTCAAATATGCAATAAAAAGATGAGAAAATATCAAATATGACCGTTAGATGATGGATGTATTAAATAAATGCATGTACCCTAGCCAAGTTCTTATTTTTTGCTTGTAACTTTTGGCACCCAACCATTCATATTTCTAATAATGGTCGGCCAAGTGAGTGGTTGTTAATCATATTTTAGAGTCATGAATTGGTGTGGGAAGTAGGGCTGGGCACGAGCCGGGGCGGGCCGGGCCGAACCTAAGTTTGTAGGAACCGGAGCTTAAACGAAAAGGGTCGGGACGGGGCAGGGATTGGATTTTCTAGTATAGGAACCGCACATTACCCCGCCCGGTTGAAACGGGCCGATTCGGGCCGGGTCCACGGGTACCCTTTTCTTTTTTTTCTTTTTTTTTTTAACAGCACAGATTGCAAACTGCTCAGATTGCAATTTGCAACTGCACAATCACAGTGACACTGCAGTTGTGCAGATTTTGCACAAATTCACCATATGGGTATCTCACTAACAGTTTACTTTACCTGCACTTCACTATGAATTATATTTCTCTCCCGAAAAGACTTTAATTTCGAAAACCCGAAAAACCAACGCATGTGGTTTTCTCACAACTTAGAGGAAACGGAAAGGGCAAAGAAATACAAAGCAATTGGTTTCTTGCCATAAATATGATAACAATAAGATTTCCAGTTGTATGCTTTGCTCCCTAAATTAAAATTTTGCAATTTAATCCACTAGACAAATTTCAGAAAAGGAATTTAACTTGCGAGCTCCAGAAATTTTAAATATTTTCCTTGATTTTCTCGGGAAACAAACAAACCGCGAAACTACAAAATCGGAAAATTGATTACCGGAGGAAGAATCCGAGGCCGTGAGTCCCGTGTTCCGATCCGAACGTGTCGAAGGTGTGATGGAAATCGTAGAGAAGTCAAGGAGGACAGCTTTGAACAAGAAGAAGAGGATGATGCCGCCGCCGCAATTATGCGAGCCCTACGGTCAGAGCTGAGACAAGGAATCGCGGACGCCGTCACGGAAATCGCCATTGGATTGGGCGCTCCGGTCAGTGAGATTTCGTCTGACGGATTCTTCTTCTTAGCTCAATCGATTTACAAATTCTACAAATTCTAACTTAAAACCCTTAAAAATCCTTACACCAGAAATTCACATTAATAGTAAAACCTAATTCAAAAATACCTAAATTTTAGAGGGATGATGGTTGGTACTTGCCTTGGTACTGGTAGTAGCAGTGTCCTCGACGGTAGTGATGGGGTGATGATGGTGGTTGCGACGGCGGAGGTGGTGATGGGGGGTGATGATGTTGGTCGCGACTCGCGACAGCGCTGTGAGAGTGGTGAGGTGAGCACTGTGAGTCAGAGTCGAGGGAAGGGATAGGGAGAGTGATTCGAGGGAGAGGGATCAGGGATAGGGAGAGGGACTCAGGGAGATGGAGTTTGAGAATCCGAGAGGGACTCAGGGAGATGGCTGTTGAGGCTGAGGATGGATGCTTCTGGAACTCGGGAGTCGGGACTCGGGGAAGGTTGGCTAGGGTTGAATTGAAAGTTGAAAACTTGAACTGACGGTTGAGATTGGATGGAGAGATGATATTAAATCTCATCCGTCCAATCTAACACAAACGGGCCGGTCCGGGTACTCGCGGATCCTATAATTTTGGAACCGGCCCGCCCCTAAACCTTCAATTACCCGGCCCGCCCCGCCCCGATCTATTTTTACAAAACTAAGAACCGGCCCGTACCCGCCCCGTACCCGTATTACCCGCCCCTACCCGCGGGTCCAGGACCCGTTTGCCCAGCCCTAGTGGGAAGTAATATGAATCATAATCAATGGGGTATAAGATAAACAAGCCTTCCCCCAGTTAATTTCCCATATTTACCTTCTAAGCATGCCATATCCAAAATTACTGTGAACCCACCTTTAAAAAAGGAGATTTTTAACGAAAAATTCCATGTACTGTTCATTTTAACAAAAAATCACATTTTTACACTAAAATGTTAATCTTGGTACTATTCATTTTATCATTTATTTTGTCCTTATTGTTAAAACTTAAAATTTTTAAACTTTTTCCATTAGTTTTCCTTTAAAAGAAATCATTAATTGTTGAAATAATTAATGGATGAAAATAATACTCTTTTCTTGCAATCATTTTTTTTTTTTTTCAGGGAGACATGTCCTTCACACTTTAAGAAACTCAGTTATAACTATAGCGGACAAACTCTTGTGCGTCAAGAGATTTTTTTAGTGGGTTGGAAATAGGTCTGGTTCACACAATGTTATAATACAAGTAGTTTATTTATTTTTTATTTTTTATTTTTTTGTATTCAACCATTTTTATTGTGAGAATTGGTGTATGAGATCATAATCTTGACAAACTGAAAATTTTCTCGTGTGTGCGAGCAATTGTGCTTAGCAGTCGCATAAATTTAGGGTAATGCTAAGGAAATCAAATTTAGAGTTAAAATTTACAAACTAAATGATGTGTGATCAATATGAATGAGCACGTTTATCAATGCTTAACTTTTTAACCAATCATCAACTTTCATATCTTTTAATTTTTTAAAATTTATCTACCAATTTAGATTATGTAGCATTAGGGATGGGCAAATACCCATTGGTTATGGGTAACCACGGTTACCGGCCTATTTAAATTAAACGGTTACGGTTATGGGTAACCGTTTAAATAAATAAACGGTTATGAGTATAACTGTTTACCAATGAAATTTAAATGGGCGGCTATGGGTATTAACCGCGGTTATAAACGGGTAATCGTTTACCCATTTATTTTATATATGTAAAACTAACACAAACCATGAATTAGCAAGGAATTCATCAGTATTTCTCTCAATAACACTGCTACAAGAATGATGATTCTCATCATCAAGGAATTCGCCAAATTAATTTAAATTCTTTGTGGGTAACCGTGAAATTGACAAAAATGCTTTGACAGAAATGTCTTCTAAACAATTTTTGTAACCCAATAATACTTAGCAAATATTATATTTACCTTCATTGGTAACAGTTAAAAATATCGTCCATAAACTATATTTCAATTATTGGAATGGTATAAAACTTAAAAAATTAAAATACGAAAATGTATAATGAATGTACCTATAATGGTGTTTAATTGTCAAAAAAAAGAAAATTATGACAATTTTTTTTTTAATTTTCAAGTTCTTAAAAAACATGCAGACGGTGAAAAATGGGTAATGGTAAAAAAAAAGAAGATAAACGAGTTAAAAAGGGTAAATGGGTAAACGGATATTAAACGATTACAGTTAAATGGATATGCGGTTATGGGTATGGTTAACTGTTTATAAACGGTTATGAGTATGGGTAAAACCATTTAGGCAATTACCCAACGGGTCAACGGTTATGCGTGCATGAATATAAACGGTTATGAGTAAATAACCGCGATTATCCGTCTGCCATAACCGTTGTCTATCCCTACGGTAGCATTAGCCATAAGTATATGGGTATGGTCGCATTTTCCTTGTTGGGAAAGTATTATAAATAGGCGGCCCATACTCAGACGCTGCAGAATTCAATTTCCAATTACAAATTTAAGAGAATTTTAGTCATTTGAAACTCACAATGGCATTTAAGTTAATTCCCTTAAAATCTGGGGCATATGTACTATCAAAATTCATATAAATCCATGAATCACGCCCCTTGTCTCTCCCCCATCCTCTTTATAATCCCCAATCATCCATTTTCCTCCCTTTCTTTTCTGTCTTCTCAACCACCGCATCCGCCCATTCCCCGCCGTATTCCGGCGGCCCCTCCTCTCACTCCTCCGTACATGCAATCTGATCCGTCGCCCCGATTCGATTCGGGTAACAGCTATCCAGATCCGCTTTCACCTGTCCAGCTTCAACCTCTAGCCTACCCCCCCCCAAATCCCAAACCCCAAACACCTCCTTTCATTTCGTAATTTACCATTTTTATTTATTATTTATCTTTTTTTTTAATCTGAATTTTCCTTTTCTTTCTTTAAAATTCTTTTTTGTGAAATTACATTTCTACCACTACAATTCCCCACCCCGACGTTTCCAAAAGGAGCCCAGTACCCTGGTTTTTGCCTTTTGCCCCCGACAACAAATTTCCAATTGCCGGTTTTATCCGCTGGAGGTTTTTCCATTTCGAAATTCGTTTGCTGACGTGGCATGGAGTTTTGAAAATAATGCTTAGACGATGAATTTCCAGCAAAACCACAGCCGTAGGATTCTGCCACCTGTCCAGCCCAGAAAGCGAAAGGAGAGCTCATCGAACGGCTTTAAACAACCGGCTCCGAAGGCTCCAAAGGCTCCAAGCACAACGACGTTTCCAAGGGCTCGGAGCAAATCTTCGGCTCCAAAGGCTTCTAGCAAAACGACATCTTCGGCGCCGTCGTCCAATCGACTTCTGGCCGGCTACATGGCGTACGAGTTTTTAACCAAGGGCACACTGTTTGGTCAGAAGTTCGACCCGGCTGGAGATGAGGCAGTTCCGCTGGCGGGGAAGCCGATCGAATCCAGACAAGGAGCTGGTACGGGCGCAGCGCAGGAGAGTTACTCTGAGGTGGCGAGCTTACTGAAGACGGATGGGGCCCACATTCCGGGGATTGTAAACCCGACGCAACTGGCGAAATGGATTCAGATGGGACAGTGCTTGTGGTAGGACTAGGATCCGGTAGGGCGTAGGGTGTTTGCGTGGGGTGGAGACGTGGCACAGCAAGATTGGATGGATGCCGGTTTCGATCAACGTCAGCTACTGTAGTAGTTGGTAGTAAAAAGAAGTTGGGAGTTCTCGAAGCAAAAGTGCATGATTCGTGAATATTGAGCGAGTGAGTCTGAAGGTGGCGAGTGAGGATCGAAACCAAATCACGCGACCGTGACTCTTTCTCTCTCTAGATCTCTCTCTCTCTCTCTCTCTCTCTCTAGAATCTGTTGGTGGTGATAATATTATCTCTGTGTTTTGTTTTGTTGTTTTTATTTGTAGGATGACGATGATGATCAAGCAATTTAGAGAGAACACCGAAATGGATTCCACCCCTTCGAATTTCGGTGCTTTGTTGTTAGTTAACTTGTTTAATCTCATCTAGTTATGATTTTGCATATATATTTTTCCTTCATTGTTATTTTTATTTGGGTTTGTTTTTTGTTTTGACTTCATAATATTGTAGGATGAATGCCTGCATATATCCTCGCATGCATCATGCACGTGTGATTTGGGCACGTTACGTACAAATATATACACACATATATACAGTGGCGAAGTCAGAAATTGTCAGGAGAGGGGGGGGGCAAATTTAAAAGAGAAAGGTTCCAAACTAAATGTAGACAACCAAATTCTTTTACATAGTAGACAACATTAAATTTGTTCATATATTTATCAAGACAAACAAGTTACAATTGTTGCCAACAAGACTTTATGCCGTAAATTTGCTGCTCATTGATAGCTTTAAATGAAGGGGGCATTGCAGTGATGCCCATCTCTTTGATCATAATATTATATGGCCTCATTTGGTTTAGAGGACTGAATTTACATGTTTGTCCATTCAAATCCAATCCTAGGATCTAAACGAAGCCTATATTTGATACAAGGAACTCTAGTGTGATATGCCAAAAGTGAAAACAGTGAACCTTGTTAACTTTTTCTTTCAAGATAAAAAAGTGCAACTTTAACCAATAGTTGATGCATCAACCCCCTTTAAGCATCAAATTTTAACAAAATTTGAACTCTTTCGAATAAAGGTAGCTAAATTTTGCCTAAAAATCTACGATTTTGAGGACCAATCTGACTCCCATAGTGAAATTAGCAGCAAAAATGAAGGATTTGGTGAAAAGCTAGTCTCAGTCGAAGATCAAATTGCAAAAAAATTCATGTAAAAATATGCATCAAGATTCAATTCTTTAAATTCCAAGCAAGAACTAACATATCCACTTATTCATCAATAATCAATGATTCATATCAATAATTATTATGTATATGACACTGTAATTCTTATAAAGAATGTTAATTAAGCAAATGGTTATGTTAAATTACGAATTAATAATTTAAATTAAAATAAGGCAGAAGGCATGAAAGTGGGGTGGGAAGTAGGGAAGTGAATTGTGAGAGTTAATTGGGGGGGGGGGGGATGAGTGGTCCCCCTTTTGTGTGTTTTTTTGATATTTTTAATGCCCACTCCTCACCCTCAAGGGGCTTCGCCACTGCATATATATGTATGTATGTATGTATGTATGTACGTACGTATATGCACTTGGCTTGGCATTGGATTATTGTGGATGCAAATTTTTACCTTCTTCTTCTTGGACGAAAATGCACTTGCAAAACAATTCACATCTTAGGTCAAGGCCAAAAGCCTCACGAGCCCACGATGAATTGGGGGGGGGGCTTTGGCGAAAAAACCTTTGATGTCAAAGTTAGAATTTTTGAGGGAAAAATGTTTAGAGAAATTTGGAGAATTTAGTAAGAGAGTTGAAATTAGGTTTTTGGGAGAAATGAGAGCTATTTATAGGGTGTGGCCGGCCCCTATTTGGAGAAAAGGGGTCCGGCCACTTATGGTGGTTTTTGGGTGTAACTGCAAGATATTATGTCAAAATAATATCTTGAAATCAATTAGGAAATTAATTAATTAATTAAGAAATTAATCAATTAATTTAGGTAATTAATCTTATTTTGAATGAATAATTGAAGGTTGCCTTGTGGGGATGATTTGATGAGGATGGATGAAATAGGTTTTGAATAAATACCTATTTTGATCACTTTTGACCTTGATTGAGTTGTGATTGTCCGCTACTTGCGTGTAGGAATTCTGGTATGCCTCAAGGATAATTTTATCTTTTTTACCCAAGAATTCACATGTCACCTCCATATTTTTCTAGATTATTTTTTGCTCCACAATTATTACAGGTATTGTATGAAAAAAATTAAAAGGGCTGGACATTGTTGGTTTCACTTGTAGCTGGTTGTGATTGATTAGAGCGTGAGCAACATATTTGCTTGCTGTCTTTTGCATGTTCAATATATAGTTTCCGGCCCTTGAACTCGAATAATAACTTAAATACTCATCATTCAATAAGATATATGACACACCCCGACCTAGGAAGGTCGAAGTATGCTGGCCATCACCATAAGGTGACGTAACTATAAGGGTAAGTGATGTAAAAAAGTGAATAAATTTAAACCTAAAAGTACCTAAAACAAAAGAGTGCGCAGGTGAGCGGGATTGTACCCATTTCACAAGTGATGGTAGAGCATAAGAACAGTACAGTAATTAGGGTGAGGGTTATACTACTAAGGTACCCATCTACTAAGATCTTGCTAGAGCCCTCGTTTACACGCAAGCACAGCTACTAAACCTGGAGGGGCAAAAAAGAAAGTTGAGTGGGTCAGTAAAACAACGTTTTGTAAAAACATTTATTTCTGAATATATTAACCCCTCGTCGTAAAATAAGTATAGTTTCTTTAAAATATACTACGTAGGTATGTAAACAATAAATCAACAGCTTTATAATAGTATTATAACCAGAAATATGCCAAGTCATGATGTATCAAATGCCATAATAATATAATCATGTGATAATCAAGTATAACTAAGTGCTTATCCATCTAGGCCGACACACGAGTTTGAACAGATAATTTCTGACACGAACAGGACTGGGTGTAATCAATATGCTCTAGTACTACTATCACGTGAAGGCTGGTGCAGGAGCACGGTCACATACAAGTCGGATTGCCTAATGCAATCTACTCGACATGACTGACACCTAACTTGGATCCAAGGAGAGAGAACAGTGCGATGTAAACATACACAAGAAGGACTGGCCCTGGCCCTGGGGCGAGTACTAACACCGATGCAGCAAGATAAGCATATACAAATATGTATGAATGTCATGATAGTAATATCTCAACCATATAGCATCATTTATCACAATTATATCGCACTTATCAATTACTTGGCAATATATACATAAAGTGATGTATTTATGCAATTTTGGAAACTATAAATACATATAGATATAAAAATAAACTACCCACTCACTTGGAGTTCGTGCTATAACTCCCTAGCACGAATATCAAGGCGTCACGAACAAACGTCGCCTAGAATAAATATAAAATCACAACTCGGGATTCTTATCGATAAAACACACAATTGACATAAAACACATCCCCAAGGGCATTCTAGAATGATTTAAAACTCATTGACCAAAAGTCAACCGTCGGTCAAAGGTCAACGGTAGGGTCCACAACCCTACATAACTCAATCTGGAAGATCCGCACCTCAGATTTCCAATCCGTAACTTCCAAAGATTCACATTATGCTTCTAGAACAATATTCTAAAGTTTCAGAACAATCCAATGGTTAGATCTCCGCCAATTGCCAAAATTAAGTGGAGGTCAACACTTTATTTTGTGAACTAACAAATTCAATTCGGGAAGATCCGTACGTCAGTTTCCCTATCCGTAAGTTCCTATGATCCTCAAATATTACATACTATAAGATACTAAGGTTTGGTGACGATCCAACGATTGGATCGTCAATTCATGCAAAAACCCCATGAAAACACATGAAAACATCGTAATTTCACTCAACGGATGAAAAATATGGAATCGGGGCTTCAAAATTAGCCTAAGGTGGTCAGATGGGGTCTCGGCCCAGGCGTCGCCACATGCACCGTTGCTTGTGGTGGCTGGCTGCCACGGTTCGCTGGAAAATTTCACTATTTCTAAAAATTCTCAAATTTTACAGAAAGTGGTCAATTTTGCCGACAAAGTTGGCGGTGCCAAAAACTTCCCGGTGTCGATTCGTCGTTTACGGTGGACCAACGGGGTCAAGGTTGGTTGGGATTTTCTCTTGGGATGATGGGCTACAAAGCCCAAGTGATGGCATCGGCCATCGTTTTGCTGATTTGCCGAAAATTTGAAAAAAGTGGCTGGATACGGTTTTGATGGGTCGGATTTTGTGGCTTCGCCCCGCCACATATGGTGGTTTCTAAAGGTCGTCCTTGGTTTGGTTTTGTAGAGGGGAGTGAGAGCTTCAAGATGGTGGTGGTAGCGTCAAAAAAATCCACCGGAGTTGGTTGGAATCGGCCTTGGAAAATGGGTGGTCACGAGTAGGTTGATGGGGAAAGCTGGGAGCGTTCTCCTTTTTTTTTTTTTTTTTTGATCTGATTTCTGAAGGCTTTCCTTCATTTTATGTGATTGGTCCCCCTTATTTAAGCCTAAAATCTGATTGAGCTTCTTTCCCATAAGGTGGGAATTCAATTAACTTATAAACCAAAATATAAATAACCAAATTCAAATGTCTGTAACTATATCGTTATAATCCGGACTCGCAAACGGCTTTCGTCTATGCGTTCGTAATGACGAGTACTACGTGGGTACGCTAAAATAATAAGTCCTATATCTCTCAAACAGATGGTTAACAGAAGTCAAAGTCCTTGCCTCAAGGGCATTTTCGTAAATTCACGCTTTTAAAATTAATAAAAACGTACAATTAGGGACGGGTTGTCACAATATACGCATGGATATATACACCTGCTTCATACAAGTTTCTGTTGGACTCCTTAACGAACCACCTGTCGATGCAAATTTCCGCCGCTTCTAACTTTGACGAAAAATGCACCTGCAAAACAATCAACACATTAGGCCAATGGATCTCCAATGCCTAAGTTAGTTTTTCTGGGAAGAATAAAGTGTTTAGGGCTTTTTAGGGTAACAAAAGCTTACCGAAATTTGGTAGAATAAAGGGTATATATAGGAGGAGAGGGGTGGCCATAGTGTTAGGGTTTTACCCTACACATGACAACATCCTATTGGCCAAGGTTTATGGAGGAATATTCTCAAGATATTAAATAGGAGATAATATCTTGAGATAATGGAGTAATTATTCATAATTGAATTAAATCGAGATTACTTACTTGAATGGAGTTAATCTTTAATTGAAAATGTATTAAAGATGAGATTTGGGTAATTACTCATTATCTTTAATGCTTTGACTTTTTCTTGCCAATGGCGGGTGACCTATGGACAGTCGTATTCAGTTGCAGGGACCTTTAGGATGTGAGCTGCGTGTGGGAGTATGTGACAAGCCTGCCCATTTAATGAGGACAATCTTATCTTTCTCAGGCAAAAGTCTACGTGTTCATGTG